CATCTCAAGATCCATACCGACGAATTCTTGACCCGAAAGTTGCCACTGCACTACGTGGAAGGCCAAAGAATACAGCGCAGGTTATCCCAGAAAGCCTAGCTATTACATCAAGTAGCCGATCTGATAATCAACCAAGTGGGCGACGAGGTCGACCGCCAGGAAGTCTCAATAAGCCAACTCTTGCTAGGAGAGTGCATAAAGCTACTCGAGAAACCATCACACAAACTGGTGGCCAAATTGGCATCTCAGCCCAGCAAGGGCCAGGTAGACCTTCTAAAGTCCTAAATGCTGGGAATACGACAGGCGTGCGGTACAGTGGACGGAGGACGCAACGAAACATTCGCAGGACAAGGAGTCAATGGGAACTGGCTAAGAGTGATGACGAAGATCCAGATTGTATCGTTGTGAGGCAATAAATTAAGTAGACCACATCACGTCTTTTGCCAGTATTTGACAGTTACTGGCTAACAGTACAAGGACGGTAGTTTAATCCGAAATGCAGGCTTGCAAGATAGCAGAAGACCAATCGCGCCCACAACGATAAGTGACTGCAATTCATGGTGATGTAGGAGCTTGTTAGTGAAGTTGGCTACACCGCCTTTCCGAGGAAGTATCTGTGGGGCCAAGAAAGTATGCGACCAATCAGAAGTGGTAAAAGTCATGCCCGTGTAAGAGTCATGCCCGTGTAGCCAAAGTGTCATGCCCGTGTAGCAATTCCCTTTTCAAATTGCAAGCCAACGGTTCATGCTGAGATTCAAGTCCTAGAACACTTCTTTAACAACAAGTTGAGCTTCGTCGCAAATGATAAGTACATTGCCTGCAGCAAAGCCGCTTGTTTTTGCTGCAAGCTGTACTTTCAACACCACCCTGCTCGAATGGTAATTCCTGAATCTCATGAAAAAGTGTGGACAAGTTGGGGTCCTCCTGCTGTGACCTTTTTCCGGAAACACAACGACGAGTCGGACCGCCAGCGAGATATTTTGAACAAGATAATTGAATCCTTACGAACTGATGCGATTTACCAAATCTTGAAATGTTCTCAACCTCCTGTTTGGCATCCAGACTCGCAGACCGCGATGTCGGACATCATCACTTCTTGTAAGGGCCCCCTTTACCCTCAGAGGCGGTTGCTGACGAACGAAAAACCCAGTTCCAAGAGACAGCGACTCATCGGAAGCAGAATTGGCAATCACCCGAGATTCTATCGCACCTCTCTCATCGATGCCGTCGAATACCAAGAGGAGTACTAGCGAAGCAACTAGATGCAGTGATCTTGTGCTTTTTGAGGAAGACTCAGATGATAACGATGGAGGTGTTCGTATTGATGGCCTGTTGTATTGAACACCTGATGGTTGGCGCAATACATGTGCGAAAATAAAATACGTTGTACGAATATTAGTGGTTTTCAATTGCAAAATTTGGTTGATCAGTCAAACACAAAAAGTCTTTACTCAAAGATAAGAAGTGTTGTGTCTGCATTGAAGAGAAAAGGACACATAGAATGGCATATCAGAGTGGTAGAAATTGGATTTTATTTGCTATTCCCCAAAAGCTCTTTAGCTGCAGATGAAGTAAGGCCGTGTATGTTCGTCAAATGCCTCAACAAATTATCCCTACGTGTGAACGGAGCCTTTTCTTCATCACACCGCGGGCAACGGAAATTGTTGGTTGACATATGATGTTCTCCTGCCCGCAATTTATGGGTTTCAAGATGTCGCATCATGTCACCACGATCTGCCACCGCCAACCGACAAAGCTGGCATACGACTGGTTTGACATGAATGCGCATGTGTCTCCTAATGTGAATTTAGCAAGTTGCTTATCCATTCACAGGCTAAAACGATGTACCTCAGAAGACCCCTCTGCGGGAATCCATGTCTCCCCGAACACTTATCATGCTGACAATAGTACATCCCATCCGAAGAAGCCAGTATGTGGTCGTATGAAGGCATTCCTGTCTCTTCAAAACCCCACATGGGCGACAAGTTGGAGGTTGCCGGGAAAGGATTAAGTCCATACCTCATCTCGCTCCAATCGCAGTTTCCTGCTGTTGCTGGTTGCCCAGCTTCACTCAAAGCCATGTCTGAGAAAGAGACTGAATAGCTGGAGATGTCATTCCTCTACAGAGGGGAGATCTCATCGTCAGTACTCGAGACATTGTGCAGCCCGAAACTGGTGTTATCCAAATTCATGGTTGCATCTGTAGCAGCTAGTTGTAGGTCATAGTCCCATTCAGCAAACATGTAGTTCTCGCCCTCCTGATTTCGGAAAGTCAAGATGCCATAATCCCCCCAGTGGAAATCACCCCAGTCGAACAATGCCTGTTCTGTGATCATCGTGTCGCAAACGTCCAACGGGATCTCAGAGATAGTTTGAACGAAGTCCGATGCCATTTTTCCAAATTTGATGGTTTCTGTGAAGAAGAAAATAAAACCCGTATGACTTGAACACAGAGGGTCCAACATTGAGCTTTTGTCTGCTTTTAATCTAGTGCTTAAATTCGAATCGGCCGCAAGTTGGAACTACCGTGCATCTCGATGCTTGGCGTGATTCTAAATTTCGATTGGACCTGGACGACTGGGCGTCAGTTTTTGTTTTTGTATGGGGTCTGCTATGTCAAGCCATTCTGCCTCCTGCATGGTGATCTGCATTAGTAGTGTCCTTCAAATTGAAAAGGACAAAGATCTCCGACAAGGACCCAGAGTAGTCTCAATCTGACCGCCAATTTTGACGCCCACGGTGCCACCAGCCATAGAGTTGGGGACTTGGGGACACTCTACTGCCAGACATGTCGTTCAGATTTAGTGCATGTTTTTGCCACAGGCTTCTTTCCTCAAAGATCATCCACATCTCAACAAAACCCATCCGCACGATCCGATCTACTTATGTTTCACTGTTTTTATGCGTTATTGGCTTGAGACATACTGGGGTGTGTGAGATGCTTAATGCTCCCGGGGCCAGTTCTGATTGGCTTGAGCTTTACAAAATTCTTTAGTGGCCGGCCTCTCGCATTATATGGCTGCATGTTTCTAATGATGCCGACGGGGCTCCCAACTTGCCGCCGCCGCCCCTGCTTACGCCTTGTCAGCACCCTCATGCTTCACCGCGAGTACTTCCCCTTCCTGCCGACCCCGGAGTCGGAGCCACGGGGTCCAGTCGACCAGCCCATGCTGGGGGCGCCCGCCCCCGAGGGCTGGTGGGACGACAGCTCCCGACTCCTCTTCGGCGCGGCAGAGCACATCGCCGCCATTCTACACGAGGCCTCCGAGTGTGGCGTGCATCTCATGACGCCCTTTGCCGGGTTCTGCGCATTCTCAGCCGGCTACCTCAACCTCTACGTGGCGAAATACCCCCGAATGAACCTGGGCCGCAGCCCGCGAGCAAGCGACTGTCTCAAAATGTGTCTCGACTACCTGGAAAAGTTTCGACTTGTCTGGAAAATCGCCGACGGATGGGTAAGCCGCCCGCAAGCATGACACGACCGTGGCCACCGTTGCGCTAACATTGAGAGGGCGGCACGCGCAAGATCAAAACGATACACCATGCATCCGTGCTCTACGAGCGAGCAACCGAGGACCGGACACGATACCAGGGGCGCACACGAGCAGACTTTGATACTCTACACCAGTCTGTCCACGAGTTCCGTGTCGTGGATAGATCCGACGCGCATACTCGGGAGATTCGGGGCGCGGAGCGGCCCTCGGCGCAGGCGACTTGGCCGGTTCAAGGGCACGAGCACGAGCACGAGCACGAGCACGAGCTCGACACTAATACCTTGTTGAACCAGCTTTTCGCGGAAGTCAGCAATAACCTCGACGAGCAGGGGGCCTGGTCTCAATGGTGGCCGGCGATTGATCAGGTGGATCTTTAATGAGCTGCGTAATTACATCCGGGGTTTTTTTTTTCGTTGAAGCTTCCAATGAATGAGTGACGACCTTTGATTTTTTTGATTTTTTTTTTAAAAAGGGCTGTAATATCTGGTTTTCTATACATGTCCTATTTTTATTTCCCGGTCTAGAAAAACAGTCAACAGATAATGCACCTCTTCATATGGCTCCCCTCCCGTCACCGCCAACAAATGCATACCTGTCGCGTCAACCATTCGCCGTTTCTCCTTCCAATCACGCCTTTGCAAAGACCTTTCTCGAGTTCATCAGGCGAACAGCAAGCATAAAGAGCATGCCGACAAAAGGCGCCACAACCACGCCAAGAGGACGTTTTTTGAAGCAGCTAAAAAGGCACGTAAATGGCGTCTGGATTCTGTACTAGATCTACTAGAAATTTGGGACGAGAAGGGTGTACATTATAGGCGAAGAGGTTAATAGCGTTATTAGGTTGAAAATTGGCCCGCCTTGGTGTCCGGCCCGCCTTGCTGTCGAGCACCACCTTTGGTGGTGAGGGCTTTTGCTAGCCGAACCACATAAAGTGGGGCGGGCACGATTAGTATGTTGTTATCTTGTTGGATGCTCAACTTGTGGTGGCGGCAGACTTGAATAGATAACAATGTAGCAGCTACAAGTGTTAACGGTGTCGGTGGGGGCCAAACGACTACCAGCAATCATGATTTGTCGTACCGTTTGGGGCTTTGGGGCCCGTGTCCAGGTTGTGATTTGACGACGTGAGCTCTGCTGAGACCGTAGATGTAGGCCAGCAAGCCAACCTTGCTTGTACGCATCTGTGTGATCACTTATCGGTGATCGCTCTGTGCTGTTTGCAAGGGTGTTGAGCTAATTCTTGCTGGTCATCGAGTCGGGAGAGTTCCCTAGCATGGTACTACACCCCACCTCCCACCAAGCTGTCATGAGCATTGGTTCGGCACCTCGTCTGTGCAATGCCCAAAGCCGGTGTCTGCTATATTTTATCATTGGGCAGCTATGCAGGGTGATACCCCCTCGAGAGTCAAAGGCGCCAGCACGCACGATTTGTGACCTATATTAACGCAAAATCTCGTGAATACTTTCCGGAAAGCTTCCAGTTATCGATACTGCAGGCTCTTTACAATGTCTGCAACAAATTCTGACTCCATTTTGGCGCAGATGATGATGTCGGGCGAATTCAGCGACCTGATTTTCATTTGTAGGGGCCAGGAATTCAAAGTGCACAAAGCCATTGTTTGTGCGCACTCTCCGGTAATCAAAGCTGCAGTCCAGGGAGAATTCGAGGTGCGTCTTCCCAAACAGCAATATTGGGTGGAAGGCGTTTGGCAGACTTACACCAGCAATATAGGAATCGCAAAGCAATGCAATTAAAATGGACAGCTTTCAGCCTAAGACGGTTAAGCGATTGGTTCAATTCATGTATACGGGTGATTACGACGAAACTGATGAATATGAACCATCCGCGGCCTACCAAAACGCTTGCATTGCTGATGGCGTTGGCGCTGAAGAAGGTGAGATCTTATGCCCCAATGATTTGTGTTCAGTCCGTAGTTGATACGAATCAGCCGCCGACATGGAAAATAAGTTTGAGCTTCGAACAGAAGGGGGCTGTATTGCCTCTTCTTCCAGCCAGGAACTTATGTTATCGTTGCCAAAATCAACAACTACTAGTTCGCTTTCGGAGCATATTTATGTGAACTCTATTGGCGATTACTATGGCGTTGATAAACTTGTTTCGTTGACAAACACCAAGATCAAGCAGCTGCTTCAGAGCGGTAATGAAGATGAGTCTTGCGTAGCGGATCTTCCGATCGCCATTGAAGCCGCGGCGGGATTAACCGGAAACAGGGAGTTAATGGGAGTCTTGGCCTCGGCGACTGCAGCGAACATTTCGAAGCTGCTCTGCCTTGATCAATTTAGGGGTATGAGCCTAACAACCGACTTCTCAATTAAAATCCTGGAAAGCTGTGCCAATAAAATGGAAGTGTTAGCAAGAGAACAAATTGAGTTAAGAGGTGAGATCAATCGTCAGCAGGAGCAAATAGGTCACCGGGATTTCGAGATTTCCTTACTAAGGAAAAGTTTGGCTACCCTAAAAAGTACTAGCAGGTGCAGAAATGTGAATTGCACGGCTGAATTTCAATGTGTTATCTCCCCGGATGAGTGTATTCTTCGCTGCGCCAAGTGCCGCTGCAAGCACTACCAGGAGTAGTCGATATCTAGTCCGGCATACAGAGTTGAAGGATGACAAGGCCATTTCTTCCGCTGGGGGGAATTTTTATACGTATAAAAGATTCTTCTGGAAAGGGGAAAAGGGGGGGGGGGGCAGATAAGATCAAATAGACGAAGCTCTACAAACTTGGATATCTCATAACTTCTGGAGGGCAAACTATAGCCTTTCATGGTCAACTAGTGACGTAACTACAAGTGAAGCTCCTGTCAGCGAGGAAATTGAATTCCCGTCAGCTTTTCCAATACAGGCCACTTTCCTGAGCTCTAGTCGCCGGCAGCCACGAGTGGGAGCAGAGGCAGGTACTTGGCAATATTCTTTTCGAGCAACTAGTTAATCTTACGGGAGCGGTTGGAATTGGTAAGAAGACTGGGTGTTCTTCATTGCAAATGCATTGCAATTGGCCACTACGCCAACTATCATTGACAAGGAAGTAAAGCCCAAAAGTTTCTAGGGAGACCAGGACGGTCAAGAAACGTTAGTGGTTCTGTGCCTCATCGTGATCAGCCACAATGTGTCACGTCATGAGACTTGTTGTTAAGTAAGCTTCTTCATAAAATCATTATTCTTGTTGTTCCGAGTGCTGCAGACTCCGTTTGCAGCTCTCTTTTTAATACCAAAAAAACTTCCTTTCGTCCGAATTTAACTTTCGGCTAAGTTTAGTCATGATAGCCGACGCTATGGCAACCAGCTATTACACCAAGCTCTGTGACTTCAGTCTACAGAGGCATTATCCGACGCAATGTGACCGTCACAAGCTGACTAGGCCGCATTCCCGCCTGCCGGCCTGGACCCACGCACGCGTCCAGCTCTAGAGTACAAGACCATATTTGTTGCTCTATCTTCACTTTCTTCTTTAGTTCCTAGATACTGGTAGTATTCCACTAACTAGTTGCTAATATACTCAGCTGGAACCGTTAATATGAGTAGCATTTCACGTATAGTGTGTGACACAGGAGCCGCTATCAGCGCGACCCCATAAAGATGCTCCTAAGGTTGCACAACAGGTGTTTGGGTGGCAGGGTGGCAGGTGTCCAGAATGATTCAAAGCAATTACCTGGCATAGGTTTAGCATATATATGCAGAATGAAGCAACTAAGACAAGTCGACCCTCGCGACGATCTGAAATGATGTGATAAACGCTTCTTAAGCTTGTTATCGCAGAGAAACCATCAGGTGCTAAAACCTCTGTGGACGCCATAGAAAAAGCAGCCTTTTCACCATATTTGTTACCTGAGTCCATACGTAGACCGCAACCCAAGTAGAGGAAAACCTTGGAACATTCTAAGCTGACACGATGCTTCCTATGAGGATGAAGACGAGGGTCCATCATCTCGTCTGCGCTTCGCAGGCCGATGTAGCAGCTCATCATCAAACTGCCTTCCTCTCCTGGATTCCCCAATGATAATTTCCCCATGGCCAACAACATTATCGGTTCCGACAACCTCCGTACTTGCATCCACTTTAATTTTGATAGGTCGTGGTCGGCCATCTTCATCAACCATGGGAATGCCGCACTGACCAGAACTATTCTCCTTGATGGTATTCAGAACAGCACGAGCAATAGCATTAGCTTGATCAGCAGGCGACTCAGAGATACTAACGCAGTTGTTGTCACCCGAAATCTCAACGGCAGCACTGATTTGTAGGCTGATGGATGATAGGGCTTCGTCAGTATTGTCTTCCTCCGTGCAATCCAAGCCATTGCGGCCCCAGGGCCAATTGGGCCTTAAACCAGGAAAGTATGATGGAGGGGGCGAAGATTGGGTTGTATCTGCATTTGGAAGCATGGCTGATCAGTGTTGTAGCAGCATTCCGGCACCCAGGCAGTAGCTTTAAAGGGTGTGGGTAGTCGGGCAAGAGGTCAAAGTAAAGAAACTGAGTGTTTCAGGGGCAAACATCCGGCGAAGACGGGCTTTAATAATGGGAGACTGGAAACGCGATAAGTAATATGAATTTTCCTGCCTTTCGTCAGGAAATGTGGCTCTGATCTCGCTATTGTTCTGATTGTTCGTCAGGTCTTGTCATCCATTTCTGGCTTAGGTGCGGGGGCAAACTTCTGATCGGCCAATGGCGCAGAGCTCCCGCGGATGACTCCTGCGGGTCCTCGCCTTGTGGCGTTGGATACCATTCGAACGAGAACGTAGAGGTCGGGGAATGGACCCGATTACGAACAACACAGGATTTGGACAAGCACTAGCTAGGTTGTCCATACGGTAATGCAGGGTGTTGTGGATGAAGTGTTGTGGACGTGCAAACACTCAATGGCTGGAGAATACCGCATCGCTAAATTCTTGCAGGCTAAAGCATACGCAGACACCCGTGTCGCCTGTTAGACTATGCAGGCACCACGGGCCCGCGCGGATGAACTCCGCTCGCTTGAATCAGACCCTTAGGGAAAAGATCCGGGGACACGGGATATGTTTACACAGGCATGAGGTCATTGCGAGGTTATTACAACGAGCATCTCGATGAACATAAGACCTTTTTTTTTTCCCCTTTCGAATTTCTTGGTACGAGAAGACCGGCCGGAGCACGTGAAACGCATGATGGGGAACCACTTGGTTTGGCAAGCTACATGTTATACCTCAGAAACAGTTTGGCAGGGAGACATGTCTTACGGCGCCTTGTGGTGTCTGAGCCAATGAACGCCAGTCTTGGTCACCACCGTGGTTTTTTTTGGGAGACGGAAACAAGGGCTTCCAGCCCGGTTACAATTTCACAATCCGCTTCAAGCCACATCAGCCTGCCCCACAATAGTTTTTCCAATTCACAAGGATTGTAACAAGGCTTCAGGGGACTCGCCATACACGGGTCAGAAAGAAAGTGCATTCTCACCTGGGTGTTGAGCCACAGTGGTCTTCGACAAGAGCGCGGGGAGCGTATGCAGCTTGGAAGGTTTGCGGGATTGCCCTAGCAAACAAGGCAAGGATCTGCGGCTTCAGGCGCAACCAACCAGAGACTCAGAGACTACACCGCAATATGGCAACAGACAATATGGATATTGGCCTGGACTTCCTCAGCCCCTTGAGGCGTCATCTGGGCCACTGTCCGGCGTCAGAGCGTGGTGGTTTTACAAGTAGCAAACAGTCTCTTCAAAGCTACAGTACGAGGCAAACATGCAAGTCTCTCGGTTCCAACTAAGACAAAGCAAAATTTCGGGGGGAGGGGGGGGAAGCAGTGTATATATTTTAGCCCAAGAACAACGGAGGTAAGTTGGCAAGACAAAGACCAAGTTCCAAAATGTCACAAATTGACGTACCCACAGTTGTTGGTGTTGTGTTCGGCGTTTTTTCTGCCTCGGTTTCGCTGATCGGCATTTACATTGCGTGGAGACAACTCCAAAACAATCCGTTCCGCAATGTAAGTCATGTTGGCCTTGTCTCTCACTACAATCTCGCTAACTCTGCGTCCAAAGTGGCAGCAAGGAACGCCTTAGAATTCTGGGGAAGAAAACACAACTGGTGTGAAACCCCCCGTTCAGAATTTTTGCGGGGTTGAGTTTCAGTTCTATGTGGGATCTGGATCGATATTTATCTTGGGATTGAATGAAATGGGACGGGGGCAAGTTATGAAGATTGAGAATAGATCTTTTATGGCTCAAGGCAGAAATTGCGGACGAATGTCTGTTGCGTTGATACAGCCGCCCACCGACTGAGGACTCCTGGGTTGGCGAGTAGCTAATGAACTCAAATGACGCAAATGAAATTACACATACGGGCTAGATATTTCTTCGCCAAGCAAGTTTAACCTCGGGCAACAAAAATGTCGACTTCCAGATTCACATTCCGTATGCCGTATGGTTCTGAGGTACTCCCATGTGGGCTTTGAGTAGTCTACCCATTTTTCGAGCGCCTTCTTATACGTGCCTTCTTTTCGTCAAGTATACATTCAACACGGTACATCTCCTGGCCGTCCACCAGTATTGGCTGGGCGAGTTCGTGATCCATTTCCTGTGAAGGTAAGGGGTCATCGGGGACTGGCCGAAGCAGATCCACGTGGAATACCGGGTGTATGCGTCCGGGCACTTCTAACTTGTAGGCATGTGGGTTGACCTCCACGAGCACTTGGTATTTTGCATGTAGCCAGTCGAGCTTTTTACAAGGCCGCGATGTCTTGACTTTTTTCAGGTTGAGATAGACCCAATCTCCAGGCTTGTAGCGCAGTGCGGCTGTCCTGTGCTTGTTGGCTTGTGCTTGCTGCATTTCCTGAGCCATAGCTATCGCCGCTTGCGCAATTTCTCCGGCATCCTGCAGCCTCTGGATAAATTCTTCTGCTATAGCTTCTCCTTCTTTAGTGTCTTCTACGCTCCTGTCTCCCACTAGCTGGATCGGTTCGTTGTGGTATCCATGCATGAAGAACAGACTGAGGCCTGTGGAGGTCGCCTCTCTTCCGTTGATAGTGGCCATGGCTATCGGCAACAGGTCTAGCCAGTTCTCTTGAAGGCAGTTTGTCCATATACGAAGGATCTTCTCTACTTCCTGGTTCATTCGTTCTGTCGCGCCGTCGGTTTGTGGGTGATACGCCGTCGATAGCCGCTGCTCGATCCGCAGCAGCTGGCAGAAGTGCTTCCACATGTCACTGACAAACTGAGGACCACGGTCGCTTATTATGGCTGTTGGGATACCGTGGATGGGGTAGTGTCGTTCAAAGAGCCTTTTCGCAACCGCCTCCGAAGAGATATCGTCCAATCCTTCGAGTTCAACGCCCTTGGTAAGCCGGTCTGTGACTACCATGCAGTTCGTCGCGCCATCTCTTCCCGACGTTGGGAGATCAGTGTTGAAATCAATAGTGATTTCGCTCCATATACGTTGCGGGATAGGTAGTGGCTTTAACAGTCCTCTCTTAGTGTCCCTCCAGATGGTATTTCGTCCGCAAACTTCACAGTTACGCACGAACTGGCGTGCTGCGCTAGCTGCTCCTGGCCAGAAAAAGCGTCTTGACAGGATCGGGTACGTAAGGTCTCTTCCAGGGTGCCCGGTAATATGAGAGTCGTGCGTTTCCTGGATAATCTTCGTACGCAACGGCTCGGAATCGGGTATCCAGACACGTTTTCTAAAGCATAGTAGGCCTCTGTTATCCAGCGAGCACTCTGAAATGCTGACAACCTTCTCTTTCTGTAGCTTGATGGGCAAGCTTTTCTCTCCATTTGCTACCAGTTTCGTGAGTTCTTGATAGGACCTGTCCTCTTGGCGTGCGGCGTGCCAAAGCTGCTGTAATTCCTTGTCTTCGAATAGCCTGATCTCTTTTCCGAAATTAAACTCCTGGTTACCCTCAGGGTTGGTGGACGCTGTTGGTATGGGCACCCTTCTAAGGTGATCGTCCTGGAATAGCCTCATGATGCGTCCTTTTAATCGTTCATCCGAGCAGTCGGCCGGCATATCCTGGTCTCGTCGAGAGAGCGCGTCGGGCAATCCACCCATCCGGCCTGGCCTCCACTCGAATGTGAATTGCAACCTGGACAGGTATTCTGACCATCGCACTTGCCTTTCTGTCAATCTCCTTTCTGCATAGAAGTATTTCAGGTTCTTATGATCCGTCAGGACTTTGAAGTGCTTCACGGCGCGTAGCTCCGGTTCCCATTGCTCCAGGCATCTGACAATAGCAAGCAGTTCTTTGTCATAAATGGCATAGTTCACTTCAGCCGGCGAGTTTCCAGCCCAGACAAATCTTCTTTATCTATCGGGGGAAGACCAGAGGTTACATCGCTGAGATCCTCCTTCCACCAGCCTGAAGATCTGGTCTGGCGAAGTCCTCCTTAGTCATCTCGTATGTGCTGATTGCTGAAGACTTTCGGTCTAAGAATACCTTGCACCCACTTGGGAGGAGATTTGATGTGCAGAACTCAAGACTCGATAATCATGGCGTATTCCTCACAAAACTTGCCAGACTTTGTCGCCAAGCTTGCGTCGCACGGCCGACGATAACACAATTCACTTCGGACATTCCGTATTGGGTTTTCATTAATGAGCTCCAATCTCGACTGATCTGACATGATGAGGTAGCACGCCGCGTAGTGCCACAGTGTACGTGATCGGGGTGCAAAGCGTGTTGTCACGGCTACCTAATATTGGGGTCGAGTCAGCTAAGTTGCAACACGGAACAACCAAAATACCGAGAGCGCAACACAGTGACTCCTGTCATGTGATTGGTTTGCGGCTGGCTGTGGGCACAGCTTGATGTCAATTAGGCATCAGCTGCAGAGGCAAAGGTACAGACAGGAGGAAAAGAAAATGTGTAAAGTCATTTCAAGAGCCTCTGGAAAGTTCACCCGAAATCCGACCTACAATCGGTCCTTGAAGGGGCCCTCGTCGCCTTGCCTATCATAAAGAAAGGTGAGGTAGCTCGGCGCTTATGGGTGTGGACCTTTGACCGCGTTCTGGTCATTCATTGGACCACTCAGAACCGTTGGTGATAACTCCAGCGCCTGCATAAAACGTTTGGGGGGCCATATCATCGAGTCTACCTCGGGCTGATACATCAGTTCTCCGTTGCATAGATTCGGGCAGGTTGGTGGGCGGTTGGATGAAGTGCAAAGACCCTCAAACTGGAAGCGCCCTTCTTCTTGGGCCGCGTCTGCGGACACCATATCCCTATTGATTAGGCTGTAACGGATTAAACGTGAATAATTAGGTATTCGCTTGCAGGAGATCTAAATACTTCTCGTTACGTGGACTCTGCTGGGGTTGAAGGGAGATGGCGAAGAGAGGTGATTTTTGCGGTTGACACTATAGCGGAGGGTTCAGTCGAGGGTGGAGCACGGGTGGAGCAATCCCCTTAACCTCCACCCCAACTTTTGAGGTCTGGGCGGCAAGAGGTTGCTTATGGTGGCCGCCTGTCCCGACTGGCAGGGATGAGAACCTAGCTGGGGTGAGGCGCGACTGAGAATTAACAGTGAACTTCGTCTCCGAGACTTCAAGCGCGATGTAGTAGAAAGCGAGGTTCAGAAGTTGGTCGATCAAGCATACACAGATCCATTACTGCGAAATAGTCTCGGCCTCCAGGGGACAGCTGTGTCACAAAATATGTCGAAATTTTGGAATTTTGGAGCTGGGGTGACTTGTAACTAGTAATTATCAGTTACAGAAGAGCAACAAGCATTCGCGGGTTACCAGTGCTTTGGCGGCGGAGGTACCTGGCCCCGCGGGAATTAACTGGGATGGTTACCAGTCACTTCGAGGGTGCCCACAGCGGTTACTAGCATCCTTCCGTTGTGCATTGGTAAGCTACCAGTCACGGCGCTAGGCAGGCTACCAGCAGTGGCAGCTACCGGCGACGACGATATCTTAATTGCTGGTAGCGCTTAGGTGCTGGTAACAAGGACGTAGTGATTACTAGTACCTCTCCACTCCCAGCAGTAGCAGTTCAGCGGTTACCAGGGCACTAGGATACCAGCAGTCCAAGTTGGTTGGTTACTGGCACCTCTTAAGTGGAAGGTTGCAGCTGCCGCGGTGGCTACGTGATTGGGGTGAACGCCCGAAGCACAATGGAGTAGCCGCTACCGGTATTCGAAGCCCACGGCACTGCCCTACGTCTCTCAAAACCACCCAATGCTCTCTCTCATACACCTCAAAGGCCTGGGTCTCCGGTTCCTCCTGCCAGCAGCTACCGGCTGCATGGTGGAGTAAGTTGAAAAGCCCGAGTCGATGTCGAGCTTATCATGACTAGATCTCGAGGGGAGCTGGCCAGAGTCGCTGAACGAATTCCATTCACCGGCATCGATGCCGTCGCAGCTGCTCACGCTGCTAGGTGACGATGTAATCGTAATCGCAGAATCCCAAGAGGAGCCAGGTGACAAAGACGAGTGATTTTGAGCCTGGAGCATTGAGCTTGTCTGTGTCAGTATGATTCCGTCCGTACCGAGCAGAGTTAACCCCTAGCAGCGATGGTCAGACAGACATCGAGGTTGCCCTTTGCTAACAATAGCGGCTCGCGAAAACAAGCGCATGAGTTATCAGCATTTAGAGGTCTCGGAATCCTCGATCGCTTTCTGGCACTCTGATTTTTTGGCTATGGGTCTTGGTATTATTTTGGGAAATTTGTCCTGAACACTGGGCGGCGTGTCAGTACCGGTAGGTGTAACTCACCCATCCCGACAAATTTCAGATTTCAATGACCATGCCCACTAACTCTTGTCTTAAAAGCCGTTGGATTGCTAGTGATCATGTATCCTATCGTGTGTAAGGCACGATATGAATCATTTCACGAGTCGCTTTCGCTCAGAGCAGTGTGGAAACAGATTTGCTTTAGCATATTTGTGAACTGGATCGCATTATTTCTCATGGTTAGTATTGCGCCCATGAGTAGCACGACCTTTGTGTCTTATTGTTGTTGTCTAACTGCTGTTGGAAAAATAGCTTGCCCTCGCATGGGCTTTCCTCCCTGACAATCCCATCCCTTGTTTTATCACTCTGTTGCAGCATAGAAGGGTTGTATTTGCTATAAAGAATCCGAATACGCACAAAACGCGTTTCCGCCACGCTCACTATGTCACCCAACATCCAGCTGGTCCTCCGATGCCCGCAGCACTCACCTAATCGAACATGGTGCGCCTTCGAGGCCAACCACATGGCGGATCACAGTCTAGGGTAGACCTGGATTTTCCGGACACAATGCATTGTTGTGCATGTCTCTTCGACTTTGCCAAAAGGCCGCTTCCTCCATTCCCGGGATTACTCCGGCCATACTTGCAGAAGTCTATGTCGCAGGCTGGAAGGCGTGGTTACGCACGAAGGACATGGTTGCATTGCAAGCCGAACGCACATCGCCGTCAAGGCAATATTGGTTTGGACTGCTGCGCTTCCCAACCAAGCCACATTGTCGTGAGGAGAATTTGCTGTGCCGATTCTGACCAGCCTTGTAGTCGGGCCGCGTGCATAGTGAAGGTGGCGTGCGGCAATTCAAGCGACTGCGGGCAAAGCTCGCACTGGTAGAGTCAAGGATCAGATTGGGATATACCTGACTTGTCATCCCGACATGAGACATGCCAACCGGCTCTGTGACGAATGCCCTTCGGCTGAGAAAGTACAGGGGGAGTGCAGTAGGCGTGGCGGCATGGACAGGTTCACATCTTGAGCCAGGTCCTGGCGCTAATCAGTGCTTCGGAGGAACGTCTCCCTCTCGACACTGGCCGTGACATTGGGTGTCGTGGAGTTCAAGTACCCAGATTCTTCGTGGTACAATGCGCGTCAGAGCGACTGGAGCCGGTCACGATCGTGTCATGGACGCGTTGCGGCTTTGATTGTCCTTCGGGCTCAAGGAGCTGGATGGCAAGTGCGGAGTCCATCGTCAGAAACGTCGGCTTGAAAGGCGTCTGCAGGTGGGAGTGGCAGCTGCTCATCAGGCATACGGCTCGAGGGTGCTGCATGCGAGTGCCCACAGCATCACAACCCCCAACGTGCGTGTGTGTAACTGGCGAGATCCTGTTGTTGCGGCCTGGCCCCAACCTGGTCCTCCTCAGCTTGCTTTCGTCCTTCTATGGTGACCGACAAGGCTGCGCTCTTCGACTGACTGATAAACAATATGCCATCGTCACGTCTCCTTCCTCTCCCTGGGTGACTCAACCCCAGCTTCCTCGTCGACATAGGCGAACCGCACAGCCCTATCATTCCACCCGCCCATCTGACGGCCTCGTGCACTTCACTCCGCACCATGGCATGCAACAACGCTCTCGACAACCCCGACTCCTATGCAGTCGCCTGGATTGCTGCTCTTCCCATTGAGCGGGCCGCTGCAGAAGCGATGCTCGATGAGGAACATGCAACTCCCGCTGGTTTCACTAGACACCAAACTGACGAGAACGTCTATACGTGGGGTCGCGTGGGAGAGCACAACATCGTCATTGCCTCTCTTGCCGCTGGAGTCTACGGAACTACCTCGGCTGCGACCACGGCCTCGAGCCTGCTTGCCTCTCTGCCATCCATCCGTCTTGGCCTTTTTGTCGGCATAGCCGGCGGCATCGCCCGACCGGACGAGGGCCACGATATCCGGCTTGGCGACATCGTCGTGAGCCAGCCCGATGGGACCACGGGCGGTGTGTGCCAGTACGACTTGATCAAAGCAAAGTCGGGTGACAAGCGTGAGCGCAAGGGCTTCCTCGGGCGGCCTCCGACGGTCCTCCTCAATGCGCTTACCAAAGTCCAGGCCGTTCACGAGCGGGAAACCCCCAAAATTCCCTGCTTCCTTCAAGAGATGCTGAAGAAGAACCCGAAGATGGGCAAGAGATCCAAGAAAAATCCCGGCTATGCTCACCAAGGCGCCGACAACGACCACCTCTTCAAAGCTTCATGTGACCACGTCCCCGGGCCGGACTGTCAGGGCTGTGACACGGCTGGCGAGA